CATGGTATATTTAGAAACTTAAATATCTGTATTGATTGTTTTTAGTTTCACTAAAATCTTTGAGAATTTTATCTCAAATTTTATTTCACTAAATAAAAGAAAAAAAAAATATATCAGTAATGTATCTGTCCAGATTTACTTAGCAGATAGGAGAAAGTGTTAGCCTTTATCCAGATCCATTTCAATACATGGAAGGGGAAGATACAGGCATAAACTTTCATTGGCCATCCCTATCCAGCATTCAGGGTATGTGACAGGAACTGTGCCATCTCAAGAACGAGGTTCTGAAGATATCCACATAAGGTAGATTTAAAAAAAAAAGAAAAAAATGGCATTCATAGAATTTATGTAGTGATCTCTACATTGCCAACTACAAAAATAACCTCAATACTCACATTATGAAAGGTAATGAATCAGAAGTAAGGGTGGTTCACTTTTTACCCACCTAATACATCTTTTAAAATAGGTATTTAAATATGAATTTTCTATTGAGGGTAGGAAGTATATGGTGTAAGATGAATTTGAAATATTACACTGTCCTCAAATTACATTATTTTAGTGTTTAAATCTCATCCATTTCAATATTTTCTCCTTAGAGACATGTTTCTGTTTGCTAAGGCCTCCAACCTTTAACTATCTTTTCTATGTTTTCCTGTGTTGTTGTTGCTAAGTGCCCTGGAGTCGTTTCCAACTCATAGTGACCCCATGCACAGCAGAATGAAACACATATCCCACGCCAGCTCAACGATCCTTGCTATACTTGAGCTCTTTGTCGCAGCCACCATGTCAATCCACCTCGTTGAACATCTTCCCCTCCTTCGTCAACCCTCCACTTTACCAAGCATGATATCCTTCCCCAGGGAATGGTCCCCTCTGACAGCTTGACCAAAGTAGGTGAGAGAAGGTCTGGCCTTCCTCTCTTCCAAGGAGCATCTTGGGTGCACTTCCTCCAGGACAGATCTGTTCATTCTTTTGGCACCTTCATGGTACCTTCAGCATTCTTTGCCAGTACCACAACTCAAAAGCATCAACTCTTCTTCAGTCTTCCTTATTCATTGTACAGCTTTCACATGCATAGGAGGTGATTGGAAATATCATGGCTTTTGTCAGGTGCACCTTAGTTCTCAAGGAGACATCCTTGCTCCTTAGCACTTGAAAGAGTTCCTTCACAGCCAACCTGCCCAGTGCTACATGTTGTCTAATGTCCTGACTACTGCTTCCATTGGCCTTGATTGTAGAACCAAGAAATATGAATTCTTTGACAACTTCAATCTTTTCTCCCTTTATTGTGATGCTGCTCTTTGGTCCAGTTGTGAGGATTTTTGTATTCTTTATATTGAGACGTAATCCATACTGCAGACTGTGTTCCTTAATCTTCATCAATAAGTGCCTCAAGTCATCTTCACTTTCAGCAAGCAAAGTTGTATCATCAGCATATCTCAGGTTGTTAATGATTCTTCCTCCAATCCTGATGCCACGTTTTTCTTCATATAGCCCAGCTTCTTGGATTATTTGCTCAGCATATAGATTGAATAAGTATGGGGAAAGGATACAACCCTGATGCACTCCCTTCCTGATTTTAAACCATGAAGTGTCCCCTTGTTTCCTTCAAACAACAGCCTCCTGGTCAAGGTGCAAGTTCCTCAGGAGTACAATCAAATGTTAGGCAATTCCCATTCTTCTCAATATTATCCATAATTTGTCATGATCCACACAATCAAATGCCTTTGCATAGTCAATAAAACACAAGTAAACATCTTTCTGGTTTTCTTTGCCTTGAGCCAAGATCCATCTGACAGAAGCTATGATATCCCTTGTTCCACATCCTCTTCTGAATCCAGCCTAAACCTCTGGAAGTTCTCTGTCAATATACTGCTGCAACCATTTTTGAATTATTTTCAGTAAGATCTTACTTTAGTGTGATATAATGATATTGTTTGATAATTTCCGCATTCTGTGGGTTCACCTTTCTTTGGAATGACTACAAATATGGATCTCTTCCAGTAAGTTGGCCAGGGATCTGTCTTCCAAATCTCTTGGAATAACAAATTGAGTGCCTCCAGTGCAGCATCCATTTGTTGAAATACCTCAATGGGTATTTCATCAATTCCTGGGGCCTTGTTCTTCACCAATTCCTTAATAGAAGCTTTGACTTCCTTCTTCATTGTTTCTAGATCATATGCCACCTCCTGAAATGGATGAAGATAGACCAGTTCTTTTTGGTACAGTGATTGTGTATTCCTGCCATCTTTTTTTGATGTTCCCTGCATCAATCAATGTTTTGCCCTTAGAATTTTTCAATATTGCATCTTGAGGCTTAAATTTTTTCCTCAATTCTCTCAGTTTGAGAAATGCCAAGCATGTTCTTCCCTTTTGGTTTTCTAACTCCAGGTCTTTGCATATTTCATTATAGTAATTGGCTTTGTCTTCTTGAGCTGCTCTTTGAAATTTCCAGTTCAATGATTTTATCTTTTCATTTCTTCCATTTGCGTTAGCTACTCTCTGCTCAAGGGCAAGTTTCAGAGTCTCTTCTGTCATCCATTTTGGTCTTCTCTTCTTTTCTTGTCTTTTTAGTGATCTCTTGCTTTCTTCGTGGATGATGCTCTTGATGTCATCCCACAATTCATCTGGTTTCCGGTCATTGGTATTCAATGCATCAAATCTATTCTTTAGATGGTCTCTAAATTCAGGAGCGATATATTCTAGATCATATTTTGGCTCTCTTGGACGTGTTTTAATTGTCTTTAACTTTAAGTTGAACTTGTATAGGAGCAGTTGATGGTCTGTTCCACAATCAGCTTCTGGCCTGGTGTTGGCTGAAGATATTGAGCTTTTCCACCACCTCTTGCCACAGATTTGTCAATCTGATTCCTGTGTATTCCACCTAGTGAAGTTTATGTGTAGAGCCACCGTTTCTGTTGTTAAAAAAAGGTGTTTGCAATAAACAATTTGTTGGTCTTGCAAAATTCTACCATCCGAGTTCCATCACTATTTCTGTCACCAAGGCCAAATTTTCTAACTACTGGTGATTTTTCTTTGTTTCCAACTTTTGCATTCCAGTCACCAATGATAATTAACACATTTTGATTGCAAATTTGGTCAATTTCAGACTGCAGAATTTGATAAAAATGTTCAATTTCCTCATCTTTGGCTTTTGTGATTGGTGCATAAATGTGAATAACAGTCCTATTAAGGGGTTTTCCTTGTAGGCGTATGGGAATTATCCTATCACTGACAACATTGTACTTCAGGAAAGATCTTGAAACATCTTTTCCTGTAGCAACCCAATATTTCCCAATCAAGCCTTCAAAGAATGAGGAAAGAGTCCCTCACATCATCACTCACACATCTACA